GACTTGAAAATATTGCCCTTCATTTTATTGAATCAATGTGCATCTCCCACATTTGCTCAGTAAAGTTTTACATTTCATGTGTTAATGCCTCTGAGGAATGAAGGGCAAGAATATGTTCCAATAGCTTCTGAAGACATGATGTAACAAAGACTCTAGATATCTAAATCCTTAGTTTGCGACTTTCATCTGCTTATCCTCCATACTTAGCAAAATGTATGGCATAGAGACAATATTCAATACCCATTTATGGGATGAATGAAAAAGGAAAGGATAAATAGATGACTGAGAAGAACATCTGAGGCAGAGAGGCTGCCAACAGATAACAACTAAAAAAGACAGCATGCAACCCAAAGACCATGACTGGAAGGTCTCAACCTCCACTGGCTGTGAGGTTTGAGTAAGTAACTAGGTGCTCACACGCATTTGTTTCCTTACAATTCCAACAGCGGGAAGAACTACAGAATCACAGGACTATCCTCACTGTGACATGGACTTACTCAGAATCCCTGGGTAAACGCTTAGCCTCTTTCAGCTGCGGTTCCTTACCTGGAAAATAACAATTTCTGACTAGATGACAGGGATATTTGTTGCTGTTCTCTAGTCGCTCTGTTGTGTCTGACTCTTTTGCAACCCCATGGAATACAGCTCCCCAGGCTCCTCTGCCCATGGGATTCTCCAGGCAAGAATACTGGGGTGGGTTGCTATTTCCCTTCTCCAGAGGATCTTCCTGACCCAGGGATCGAAACCACATCTCCTGCTCGGGCATTGAGCCACCAGGGAAGCCTTAGTAAAAGGTGTATAATTTTAAAATAAACAGTGAGAAAACAGACTAAAATGCTTTGATAAAAGTTGAAAGTTATACATATACACAGCGAAGGTTGGAAAGGCCAATAAAGGAAAGATAACATCTGGTCAAAAGATTCTAAAATTATCCATCAGTCTTCTCAACTGTTCATGCTTTTTAAGGAGCTTTCAATGGCGCTGCCTATCATTTGTGTATCATACAAACATATTCTTATAGAATGCGGTGTAATATTGCTCACCAACCTCAAAAACTCACACTCTTTATTTGGAGCTAATAGATATATAGCAAAGAGCCCCATGTCATTAACGAAAACTTAAGTTATCTTTCGATCCACAGTTTTCCCTGGTTTATTAAGGGCATAACACATTAATTCTTCTTTCAGGGGTGACCTTTACAACACCATTAATGCTCATAGCTTTTATCCCACTACATTATTACTCATTACAGTTTCAGCTTTCAACATCTGCATTTGTTGAAAAGAGAAAAGTAAATTGTAGTGGCATTGAATCCTCAGAAAATATGAGGGATGTGTATGTGGTGAAGGGCCTTCTCAGGGAAAGAAAATAGAAGTTTCAGTAGTGGAAAACGTCAGATGATAAATGTCATTAAATACATTCTTGCCTTTCTAAAATATTTTGTCATACTTAATCCTCAGAATGCTGAAAGAAAAACTCCTCACATGACAAAAAATGCAAATATATCAGTTATTCCCTTAGTTAAAGATTCCAGTTCTGGGGCTATTACAAAAGTATCTCATACACCAACAGTGTCATTTTTATGAGCTTTCATGTCTATTATGGAAGTGAATCCTTTTTGCCAAATAAAATATTTTTCCTTTTACATGCTTCGAACATGAAAGCAAATCTTATCTTGGTGTCTACTTTGGATGTTGAGCAGAGTAACTGAGAGATCATAACAGAATGGTGCAAAATGATAAAAAGAACACATGTGCCCCAAACCATTTTCAAACTTCTGAAGACCTCCATTTTCTTTGTTTCTCTTCTACAGCCACCCCACTGGCCCTAACCGACTTGTTCTTGGCAAATAATCTGGAAGCGAACGTTGTGGAGATGGAAGCATTGGAAACACACTCCTTCAGGTTTCTTTCTGTCCATCTCATAATTTCTCTGTAACTCTACCCCTTTTCTCCCCTCATTTCCTCAGTCCTCGAGAAAAAAGGGGCATTTCTTCTTTCCAAAGCTAATGCTGTCTCATTTCTTCTTGATCTGTCATCACCCATGGAGTCTTTCATATCTAAAAATGTCTCAAATTCATCTTTGTTTATATATACACATATAATTTCCTATTTTAAAACCTGTCTCTACTTAGTCTTCTCAAAATATAATCACCTCTCAACACCAAGCTTACAAAAAGACTGATTCATATAGCCATTGCACTTTCTGTCTTCATGTGCTTCGAATCTTTGTAACTGGAAGTCTCCTAAACCATTCTACAAAGCATCTCTGTTACAGTCTACCTATCCATACGCTCCAGGTAAATCCGAAGGCTTTTCTTCTTCATGTTCTTTAATTCTCCTATAGAATGTGACACCATCAAATAACCCTGTCCTTTTTCAAATTTCAATTTGCCCTAGACAAGCAGGTCACTGCTTTCTCATCATCTTTATTCTAAGATGCTCACTTGTTCTTTATCAGTTTTCCTCTTAAAAAAAAAGTGTGGTGGCAGTTTAGTTACTAAGTTATGTCCGACCCTTGCAACCACATAGACTGTAGCCTGCCAGCCTCCTCTGTCCATGGGATTCTCCCGGCAAGAATACTGGAGTGGGTTGCTGTTTCCTTTTCCAGAGGATATTCCTGACCCAGGGATCGAACCCAGATCTCCTGCATTAGAGGCAGATTCTTTACTGACTGAGCTATGAAGGAAGCCGAAAAAAAAAAAAGTGTGGTGCTTTAGAAATATGTCCAAAGATAGACTTTGATATTGATTAGAGTTGGAGCCCAATTCCCCTTTCTCTGAGTAGGGCTGAACTTTGTGATTTTGTTATAATGAAAAGAATAAAGCAGAACAGACTGAATGACTTTTGAGACCATGACTTTCTCTTTGCTCTCCTTCCTGGATCACTCACTCTGGGGAAAGTTAGTTGTCATCCTATGAATAGCTCTATAGAAAGACCCACATGGTAAAGTACTGAGGTCTCCAGCCAACAGCCATGTGAGTAAGTCATCTTGGAAAAGGATCCTGTATCTCCAATGAAGTCCAGGTCCCTGGCTTCCATCTTGACTGGAACCATAAGAAAGACCCTAAGGTAGAACTAGCAGCTGACCCTTAGAAGCTACGAGGTGATGAATGTTGGTTGTTTTTAAGGTGGTGAACTTTAAGTTGGTCTGTTACACAGTAAGAGATAATTATGGGCTTCCCAGGTGGCTCGGTAGCACAGAATCTGCCTGCCAAGCAGGGGATATGAGTTTGACCCCTGGGTCGGGAAGATCCCCTGAGAAGATAATGGCAACCCACTTCAGTATGCTTGCCCGGAAAATCCCAGGGACAGACAAGCCTGCATGGCTGCAGTCCATGGGGTCACAAAAGAGTCACACACAACTTAGTGACTAAACAACAACAAGAGATAACTACACAGCATATAATACCTCTGACTTTTTACCCCACACCCTTTCTTATCATACACACTCTTTGGTGAACTAATTTGCTCTGATGGCTTCCAGAACCTCATTAAGGAATAATTTCCAAGTCTAAAATTCTAGCACCCCTTTCACACACCAGATTTACTAATTAACAACATCCTCCTGAACTTCTCTACCTAAAGTGATGCCTTAAGTTTCAAATTCAACACTTATTTTTGTCTTATCCCAACCTACATCCACTCTGGTCCTCTCTTTCACAGTTCAGGGGGTGGGGGAGCATTATCCTTTCTAAATTGTAAATTTAAAACTCCAGACTTCTCTGTCTCTAACTTGAACCTCATCAGATACATTTTACTGTGGATAAGTTACATCAATTAGTCTTTAATGATATCTCTTCAACTTATTCTCTCCTTTGCTTTACCATGGCTTATTTCTAGCTTGCGTAACTTACTCTTGTCCTCCACTAAAATAGTGACTTCCCTGATTCTAGTCTTTGCTGTCAATACTCTTTTTAAAATTCTGATCAAATTGCTGTCTGAAGAAAAAGTAAAAAATTTCTTAGGATAGCATCCCATCAGACTCCATCTGCCCCTTTCAGTTTTAACTCTGATCAACTTCCACTATACACTCATTCTATATTCCAGTCAAATCAGTGTATTTATCAAAAATATGATATTTACTCTGGGATCTATCTTACAGTGTAAAATGCCTAGGGATACATCTTTTTTAAGGCTCCATTTGAATTAGTCTATTCTTGATCCTTCCCAAATAGAATCTAATACTCTCATCTTCTTGACTACAGGATTGTTATCTGGGTGCTAGAACAGCATTTGCAACAGTTGATTTAAACTATAAGACAGATAACTCCCCCCATCATAACTGGACCCTGGCTCCTGGAGGGCTGGTCTGTGACAGACTCCACATGAGTGCATGCAAATAATAAACATTAATAAATGAGGGTTGAAATAAGTATTTACAGTCTAATTTATGTGTTACTAAGATAAAAATTACTGGAATTTTAAAAAGCTTATAGAAGCATTTTCCCATGTTTGTTTACTGAAATGACAGTCATGAAGAAATGAAGTGACCAACTTTTAAAAATATTTTCATGTAGTGAAGTAAATCTCAAGAAATATGGAACTGAAAAAAAAACAGCAACAAAAACAAAAACTCGACGTCCTGATGGCTGACTATGATCCAGGCAGAATGTACTTCATCATTATGTATACTTAGTACACATCACACAAATGCAAATAAATCTCAGAGACTGAAAAGGCAAGTCACCTAACAACAACAATCTGGAACCAAGGCTCGCGGTGATTAGCCAGTTAGGCCTCTTTTTTGTAAACTTAAGAACATCAATCACATCAACGAACATAACCAATTCAATTAGACTTTCAGGGGGGCATTAGCACTCGGAATTCAGTCATACATTTCAATTTCATGTTTAAAACAGACCTGTGAAGTTCACCATATTGAAATTCTCCTCTGGAACCAAAGCCAAGAAGAGGCTATGTGTGATCTGCCATTAAAAGATGCTTTCATTCAATTGTCATAAACAGAAAATCAACATAAACAAAAGAAACAGAACTTACCCATTGTGCTAACTCTGGCGGAAGGACTAGCTAATGATGCTGGGACAGAGGCTTTGAGGGGGCCTGCCCCACTGTTTATTCTCAGAGCTGGCATATGGGGAGAGGTGGGTGATGTGGGTGATTTGCCATCAGAGGTCTTGGGTTTAGCTGATAGGTTCAGTGGCTGTGCCACTTCATCCTGCAATGATCAGCAGAACATGAGCTGTGATAAGGAAAGTCTGATTAAAAGTGTCTAGAAAAACATAGGTATAACGCCTGTCATTTCCCATCAAATACTCTACCAATCAGTGATCTTAACATTCGGTTTGAACATTACAGTGTTGGTTAGCTGTCAACAAAGGCACTTTCAACTATATATTATGAAAAACCTTTTATATAAGAGAAAGTTCACGTGCACTCAACTATCCAGAAAGCATGTAACTGATGCCACCTGTAAAAAATATTCTTAACAAAGATATTATTTGTACTACTCACTTTTATTGAGAGACAGTGCATAATTTTCATAAAACTATAATGTAGATTTTTTTTCAACCTGCAAAGAATAGGTGTTGAGTCCCAAGCATCTTTGGATCCTAGTGCTTAAACAGAGTACCTAGAACCTCCATGATGAAGGAGTTAAATGGTGTGTACCTCTGATTAGAACTGTTCTCCAAACTAAACACAAAAAAAGAAGAAAACTTTCTTTCTTAAAAAATAATCTTTTTTCCTAGGTTTCACAGAAACACTTTAGGGTTTGATCTAAAAATGAAAATACACATAATTAGCATTATATTAACATATATTATTTATTTATATGCAACACTGTTCTAAACATTTAGCATTACATTTTTAAATATCCAGATTTTCCTTACAGTGTATTACATGGTGGTATGAAGATCAGAACATGGCCAGCTCAGCATGTATGGTGACTTCCAGTTCTCTGCTTAAGCAGGTCAAGTGTACAAAGTTAACACTCTATTTTATACTTTTCCACATCAGCTTTTTTTTAAATTCAAATATAAAATTTATGGGTATAATTATCACTAAAATGTCCATCACTATCTAAAAGAATCAGATTACCTTAACATTATATTACTATTCTTTCATTGCAAACTAAGAAAGTTATTCCTTTTTTGTGCTCTAAAATTGCAATATGGTGTCATTTGTATTTTACTATTTATATATCTCCAATTCTACCTATGTATTACTGTAGAACAAAAATTTGGTTCCCACTTAGCTTCATCTTCATGAGTCAAGAACATAAAATGTCTACTAGTAATAGGATAACTTGTTGAAAGTAGAACAATTTAGAATCAAATGGTGTGATCTGGTGACATGGAAACATATTAATTAATGTGTACAAAATTTGATATGTATATATTTACCCAAAACATTTAAATAAATGACTTTACAAAAATGGCATGATATGATATTTCAAGTTTATATTTTAAAAGCAATTTACTTTTATTTGATTCCATGGTTAGCATCACTTAAGAAACTCATGAACAGGCTAGAGAAAATCATACTTGAACTTTCTTTTCAATTCTGTTTTCTTTTTCAGAGAAAATAACAGTTATTTGAAAACCCATGACATAATTCAAGTGGCAATCTAGGATCATGTTAGATGCATAAAAAATTATTGACCATGATACCATATTTATATGAATTCACAGAATCTTGGAAGGAAGTATAATAATTCCATGACTGGTTCAATATATAATTTTGAGCGAAATATTTTAAAAACTACAGGGCAAAAATCATTCCCAGATCTTTCAACATTTAGTGAGTGAGTGAGTCGGTCATAATCCTTATACATGATGGCAGATCCCCAGAATACTGTGCCTTTCCCCCCATACTCCAGTGTGATGAGAACTTCTCAAAATGTGACCTTTGAACTAGTGCCATCAGTACCACCTGGGAACTTGCTAGAAAGGCAGATTCTCTATTCTAGAAACTCTGGACATAGGCGCCAGCAACCTATGTTTTCACAAGCATTCCCAGGTGATTCTGATGCACACAACCATTTGAGAGACACTACCTTACATAGTTAAAGGGAGATTATTTAAAAATTTTATTTATGAGGCTTCAAAAGTCTCCAAAAACCTTCCTCAATATAAGGGGGTAATACTAAAAATACACAATGGTATCTCAATCTTTAAAATGTTATCAGAACATATTGTAAGCTAATAATACAAAATGATAACATGTATATGCATAACAAACTAAATGATGCTGAGATTCCATGGGTCATTATGGATTAGAATTCAGATTTTCTCTCTGTTACTCAGCCTAAAAATCCTGTCATACCAGAGTTTTATCAACTATTTACTGGGGCTTTCCAGGTGGCACCAGTTGTAAAGAACCCGCCTGTCAAGGCAGGAGACATAAAGAGATGTGGCTTCCATTATGCAGCTGTAAATACTGAAGGCACTTTTCCCCTTATAAAAGTTGTACCTGTCTGCTAGTGTCTGCATGAAACTACTGGCTTTTGTCATGGTAGCCTGAAACCTCTTTTGACAGCATCACAGCTCTTGCAAAAGTTTTGAGGGGATGAAAGTGAAAGTCACTCAGCTCTTTCCAACTCTTTGGGACCCCATGAACAATACAGTCCGTAGCATTCTCCAGGCCAGAATACTGCAGTGGGTGGCATTTCCCTCCTCCAGGGGATCTTCCCAACCCAGGGATCGAACCCAGGTCTCCCGCACTGCAGGCGGATTCTTTACCAGCTGAGCCACAAGGGAAGCCCTTGAGGGGATACTTGGAGAATTTAAAGGTGGCTGCTTCACTTGATTGTGCAGAAAGAAAGGAACATATTCTCAGAGGGGCAACAGAGATCTACGAACACAGGGGAAGTCAAGTCTGACTGTGTGTACTGGGGAGAAGTGGTGTTCATGGAGATGATGGAGACGCGGGTGCTGATGGCGTGAAATGTCATATGCTTAGCTCTAAGCACTAACTATTATAAGCGCATACTAAAAAAACTACCAAAAACACTGATGACAGCAAGAGACCTGCTGGAAATCTTAATACTCTCCTGCATTCAAGGCAGCTCAGATGTCTGAAAGCCAAAAAGTGCAAAGCCCCAAGAACATAATAGAAGTTGACAGCTCCAAAGTTGATAGATATATCATTCAAAATTGCCTCTTCTTCTCCTTCATTGTATGACCAGGCTAATGGTATATAAGAATCCACAAACCTGATCCTTATTCTGGTAACTACATAAATAATTTTTGACTCATTGTATGATATTATTTCACAACTTGGTTCTTTTAATAATTTACTACTGAGCTATTATACCAAATGCCCATTATTCATGAAGAATACAAAAATTACAGTAGTTTTCCATTTTCTATCAATTATTTTTTATTTGACTAGATGAAAATTAAAAAACCACAACTATAAAATGGAGGTGGACTATTTATGATGTGCATTCACATAATTACAAATATGCACCATAAATGCCAAAAGTAAGGTTTTTCTCTGTTATTTTTCATTTGCGCTATCTTATCATTTAGGAGAAACATGAAAACATAGCATGATTAGCCACTATTCTTAACAAATAAATCATGTTTAAAATTATAAATAATTATTTTACATATAAAATAATGTTATTATTTTGAAGGTTAGGAAAGCACTGGAAAAGATGGCATTTATATGAAGGTAAACCATCAGGCAGTGAGGAAAGCAAGTTCCTTTTAATTATTAATACTTGTCCAACTGTTGAATGTGGTTGCCAGTTGAAAGTTTTGGAAATAGCATATTTCATACTTTTATCATTTATACACAAAGTAATAGTTAACAAGAACTATTAGCTATGTTGCTGTTGAATAGCTCTAAACTTGTACATGAAATTATAAGGCAAGCATTTAAGCTTTTAAATGTGTAGCTAAGGTAAGCACGTCTTAACTAACTAAAGGTAGTATTCTACATAGTTATGCAATTCACTATAAATATTTCAAATCATTTACTTAATATTTAATACTGTGAAGTGATTAATAACTTCAGAAAGGAAACGAAGGCTCAGAAAGGTCTAATGAAACCCAGGTTTTTGGACTCAATATACAATACCCTTTTCATTTACATGACGAATTTAAACTTAAAGAGATGCTGATGAAATATAATTTCTGGAATTCAGCCCTAAACCATATAATTCTATCACATAATAAACCACATAAAGTTCAGTATACATGCAATAAAATGAACTAACACACACATTTGAGACTTTATATATATATAGTTTAAAAGTTGAAGCACAAGTTGTTAACTTGTTTTGGTGATTTTTTAAATGCTTCTCTGTTCAGTACAACATATAGCACCAAAACTTTCCCTCAGTAATACTAAAGACTTGTTACATTAGTCTATTCTTTGTGAAAAATACCAAGCGTTCACGTATAATACGGCAGAAAATGTAACAATTCATACAATAATGTGCAAGAGAATACTGTTTCGTACATCCAAATACAAGTTTTAGGAACCTATTCATGACTTTAAATTCCCTAAATAAGGAATTATTAAGTCTTAGCTGTCTAGGATAGAATGCAAAACAAGGACAATCCAAAAAACATATAGTTCAGGAATGGCCCACTTACAGCTCTTATGAGTTGTCTGAAAGCAAACATTTCACTTAACATCACTTGTGGTTACAGTACTAGAGATATTGCAGAGATTCTAATGAATTTGTATCCCAGCCAATGAAAAGCTCCCATACCTATAAATTATAAATTAGATAAAGAAAAGAACTTAACACAAATATATTGCCTTAGATGCACTGAAGAAATACCAATTATGATCATTAATGCAGCGACCATTTCCTCAGAAACTTAACACACACTGTAAAATAACTATATAAAGGGAATATATATTCATTTGGTTTTCAAATCTTAAGTTTATTCCAGGGTCTTCTCTTGTGGCTCAGAGGTAAAAAATCCACCTGCCAATACAGGAGACAAGGGTTCAAGCCCTCGTCCAGGAAGATCCCATACGCCATGGAGCAACTAAGCCTGTGCATCAGAGACGTTGTGCCTGCTCTGGAGCCCACGAGGCACAACTACTGAGCCGGCATGCTGCGACCACGGAAGCCCACATGCCCTAGAGTGCATGCTCTGCGACAAGAGACGCTGCCACAACGAGAAGCCTGCGCACCGCAAGTAGAGAGTAGCCTCTGCTCGCCACAACTACAGAAAAGCCCACACAGCAATG